TTCATTTTTAAACAGGGTAAATCTTGTTTACTGTTCTCACTGAATATTCACTTTTTCTGTATTTTGAGGAAGTTTTTCTTTAACACAGTGATAGGCAGACTACAGAAATATCTATATTTGTCTAAGAGCAAACACAGGTATTCACCTTCAACAGTAAGTTACTGGTCTGTCACTAAAAACCAGTTATGTATTGCTGTGCGGGGCTGTGGACACTACCTGATTCGTGGGCCTGGTATGGAGATCCAGACAAATTGCAACACCTTCTTAAAGATATCTTCAAAATTTTATAATAATTTTGATGCATATTAGTACATACCTGACTTGTCCACCAGTCAGGAACGATGCAATTCCTGGAAGCCATCAGTAGATGTCTGACAGACGGTTTGATTGTCAGAGCTGTGCCCCGTGAACTGCACTGAGTTGGGGTTTGGAGCGGGGTACGTGGCCTTCTGGGGTGCTGCACCTGAGCTCACCTGAGCAGTGAGCATTTACTGAAGGACAGGGGGAGGACACATGCATTTAACAGCGCTACATCCAAATACCCCCCAGTTTTCACAAAGGCCTTCTAGCACAGACTCACCAGTGCTCCGTTGCCTCCCACCAGAGTCAGGGCTGTTGGAGGTGGTCACAAGAAAAACAATTTTCTGAGGGACTCAGGTGGCAGCTCATGGCCCTCTGTGCTACGCAGCCCAGCAGACAGTAAGGGGAGCACACACAGTTTGTGAGGAAGGAAAAAAATTCCTCAAAGCCGTTGCAAGAAGAAGGTGGATGTCAGGGGAAGGGTCGCTGCAATGCCCCCACAGCCAGGGCAGCCATTTTGTATTGTGTGGCTGAGCTGCTACAGAACGGTGGCCATTTTGTCTCATGCCACAGAGCTCACTTCACCTGTGAGGGCAAGCAGTTAGCACTGGCTTGTGTGGCTCTGCAGTGGAAAAGCCCCTGTGAAGCAGTTCCTCTAAACTTTAAAAATAAAGTGTGCCCCTTATTAAAGGAATTTCTGCTGCTGTTTCCCTTCTTTAACCAGAATCATACACCATCAGGTGGGTGAGGTCTCTTATCTGGTGACTGACTTCAGTATCACTTGAGTTACTGTTGCTGACCGGGTGTCCAAATCTCTTTCTAAAGGTGGAAAATTTCTTCCTGAGGAGACTAACCTTTCTGTCAATGGCCCAGAGCAAAAATGATGAATAATATTTGTATAGCACAAAGCAGTTCTTTAACCAGAATCATACACCATCAGGTGGGTGAGGTCTCTTATCTGGTGACTGACTTCAGTATCACTTGAGTTACTGTTGCTGACCGGGTGTCCAAATCTCTTTCTAAAGGTGGAAAATTTCTTCCTGAGGAGACTAACCTTTCTGTCAATGGCCCAGAGCAAAAATGATGAATAATATTTGTATAGCACAAAGCAGCTTGCTTTTTCTAAAGGTGGAAAATTTCTTCCTGAGGAGGCTAACCTTTCTGTCGATGACCCAGAGCAAAAATGGTGAATAATATTTGTATAGCACAAAGCAACTTGCTTTTTCACAGTGTGGCTGTTGTAGAGTTGGGAGAAATTAATAAACTAAAACCAAAATGCTTTGATGTTTTAACTCAATTACAGAAATGTATGTGAAATTTGTTGAAATATAATTGAAATTTTCCTCACTTTAATTTTGAAAACTGAAAATCTGGGTCCACCAGCAACAGGTCTAGCTTGCAATGTTTTGTCTTCTTGCCCTTGAGTGTGAATGTTGTTAAGATACAGTGTCTGTGCTGTGAAGAGTTGTGGTAGTTGCTGGTATGTGTAAGTAAAGCTGACAGGCTGTATGCCTCTAACAGCAGGTAGCCAGGACCACCACTAGGGCTGGTGATATGATCAGAGCACAAGCCCTCTAGCTTACTTCCTTTTTTTTTTTTTTTTTTAAAGCATAGCTACAATGTACTTTGTCCTAGCTTTAGGATCCAGCTACATGTTAATAAAATATCAGTCATACAGAGAGACAGTGAGAAGAATGAGCCATTACTTTTAAAAACATAGCTAGAGATGTAAGTTGTGGCTGGATGTGTAAGTGCTATGGAATTATTTCATTATGTTCATGCTTTTATAAGAACTAAAAAAAGCCAAATTTAACTCAATATAATTTCTACTCTGTTGCTAACAGCATGAGAGGAAAAAAAGAGAATACAAATATACCACACATTTTCTCCATTACTCTATGTGTCTTATCCTTTTGTTATAATTGAATTAAAAGCTAAAGCAGGTACAAGAGCTAGAGATCTGGTTCTCATTAAAGCTGGTCTTGAACTCAGAGGTCTAAGCATAGGTGTAGTACTGCTAGTTAGCAGACACATGTTCAAAATCAAGTCTGTCTTAAACCTGTCTGAGGCAGCTCAGTTTCATGCAGTTGGTTGTACAGGTCATTCATAGGGGAATCTACTTCGTCAGAAGAAAAAAATTATTAAAATTCATGACCTACATATAGACTTCTGGTCTTGGGACACTAGCAATGCATTACTTCAGGAAGCACATGAAAAAAATTAAATATGGCTACATATAAAGTCTTCCACAATATGTCTCTAAATTAGAATTTATGTATGTCATTTGCTTAGTTAAACAGATATAAAACTTGGACCATTAAGGTAACCATGACTTGTTCTGTTGCTCTCAGCAAGAGGTCATTAAAAGACATTTGTCATTGAAGGCAAATGCAACCAAGCCCCTCTGTCAGTGTAAACTACCCAGAATGAAAGGCAGTAAAGAAGAGGTGCTGCTAATACTACTTGGGCATCACTAGCAACATGCTTCTCATTTGTCAGGAATGTAAACGTGTAAAAACATTTTTTAAAATAAGATTAAGTCAAATAGACAATTTTTTGGACTCCTAAAAGCTACTAAGGGAAGCATGTTCTAATTCTGTAGGCCTTTGGGAGTGAGAGAGGCTGCTTTTTCTTTCATACTTAATAAGCCAGTATGAAGAACTTGCCTGTTGTAAATGGGCTTAGAAAGATGGGAAGCATACATAGGGCTTGAAAAATCATAATCAGTGCAGTCTTGGTTTGCAAGCAGAGTCCCAGTGCAGAGACAGACACTATCTCACCATTTCATTCAGTAGCATTAACAAACTGAATTTAACTGCCTCAAGGATTAATGAGCTGTGTCAGGATATTCTGCCACAGAGAAGGGAGCAGCTGGGCTAGAAAGCTGTGTGAATATCCCTGAAAAAGCGGTCATCTTGGCCCACTGCTGCTGAAGGAATGAGAGGGTCTGTGTTAGTGGCACAGACCTCAGTCCCTCTTGCTGAAGACAGTGGCAGCAGCAACAAGCTTGGCTTTCCATGACTTAGAAAAATCAAAAAAGTGGGGCCATCTCTGGCAGTTGCTGCCTCTGTCCCCTGCCTGCTTTGCTAATACCTAGGGCCAAAAATAGTGGAGACTTTGATGCTCAGAAGAGCTTTCCTCACTCAGCCGGTGAACAGCTGGGGAGTGCTCTTGGGTAGCTGTAGGCAGAGTGTGTTTGGATGATATCTAATGCACAAAAAGTACTGTTGCACAGTGTGAATGTCAGTTATATTCCCTTTTCAATAAGCAAGTTCCTGTGTGTTAAATTCCTTACTCAAACACCTGCTAGGCAATAATACAGAGTAAAGAGTGTGATGAGTGTGAGCATGGGGGAAATGAAAAGAACAGACTGGATACGAGAACAAACAGAACAAGTGAAGGACATGCAAAACAATGACAAGCAGATGTCCACCATGGCTCTCATTCACTGGGACAGTTTTTTTCAGTGCTTTGCTTGATACAGAAAATGTCAAGAGAAGTGCAGGGTTCAGTGATGAAGCTTCTTCCGGATTAAATTTATGTACAAGCCAATAAAAGCCAATCAACAAGTAGTTATTTGACTACTAGCAGCAGGTGTGACCTCTACAGCATTATTAAAGGTCAGTGTTACCATTACCAGTCCTTATTTCCAAAGGTGTCTAAGCACTGATTTTGGGCTGAAGTCTTCTGGGATAATACTCAAAGACAGATTTCTGTGCTGTTTGAGGGTGAGGCTTTCAACTTCGACAGAAGAATGCAAGTCAGGGCACTGAAATTAACCTCCAGGTGTAAGGGTTAAAGTACCTGTCCTATCTTTGTACTTCAAAGGGAGAAGAGTGCAAGTGAGGTTTTTTCAGGTTACTGTAGCTTCATTAAATCCAAGTGTCTTTCAGCAGGTTTTAGACCTACCGAGGTTCTTGGCCTGTCAGAAAAGGCATTAGTTTCTGACCTCAGGTATTCACAGACAGATGGGACTTCAGAATAATATACTCCTTATTAATAAGTCCTGGTCTTCTAAATTGAGTGATTTAGGAATATAAACCCTATTGACTTCACCATCAGAACTGGATTAATGTTCATTAACCTTCAGTGAGGCTCCTATGCCTGACCCTTTTGTCAGTTTTGAAAACCTCTCTTGGAGTATTGCTATTTAATTTGATACATCTAAATATGTTTTGTGTTCATAAGTTAATGGCTTCCATTTAACAAATGTCAAATCTTGGCTGCTATTAGTCCAGATCACAGCATGTTCTCTTGTGACATGAACTAAGACCACTAATGAACTGAGGAATAAAGCCTGAATTAGGTTAGAATGTGGAAGCTCCAAATCCCCTACCTGTTGATATTTTTGTCAGACAAATATCCTTCCCACAAAGGATTAAAGTCAGGTATAAAAATACACTCTGTAGACATGTACTTTGCTAAAGTTTCCTTTTGTAAGTAATAGATCCCTTTTATGTCTTCTGCAAATCATACTGAATAAAAAAGGTAATTTCCTTTGCAACTACAGAAATAATTTCCCAATGGCATTTTGCAAGCATTCACCTAACTGGGATGCTCTTTATCTTTCTTCCTTTTAAAATGTCAAGCAGATAAAAGTCTTCTAAATAGCAC